TACAGCCTGGGTGACAGAGCGAGATTCCGTCTCAAAAAAAAAAAGAGAGAGAGAAGAGAAAACTGAGATTGTAAAAGTAGGATGATGGTGGCAGCTGTAGATTTTCTGTGCAGGTAGGGCACTGGCATGTCAACCTGGCCAGAAAGCTGGAGAACTGGTTTTGTAGACACCATGGTATAGCAGGTATGCTGATTTCACTCAGATTTGATGGAGCTTGAGGCTGCTGATGGCCTCTCCCAAGGCCCCACACCTTGGTCCTTGGCCCTATTCCATTAAGAGGCCTGCCCAGCGTCTCTCAGGCAACTGTGAGGCAGAGTTCATACCAGAGCCAGAACTCCTAGTCTAGTTCTCTAACCATTACTGCCTCACAGTGACACTATGTTTGTTTTTGGAAATACAATATCTGTCTGAATTTATACTATCTTTTTAGTTGACATTCTGCCCTCAGTCAATATAGAAAAGTAATATGTTCTTTAAAAGTAAGGTAATTTAGTCAAGGCTTCAGGTACTTTTTTCCTAGACATTTACTTTGCCTACCCTAGGAGAGGTCACTAATCGATATTATTGTTATTACTACTATTAAGTCATAGGGTTAACAAAGGACCCACTTTACTTATCTTTCACTCTGAGTCAGGTAGTATGCTAAACGCTTTACAAATAATATGTCTAATCCTTACATCAGTACAATTAGAAAAATGTCATAGTTTCATTTTAAAGATGAGGAACTGAGGCTCAGAGAGGCCAAATAACTTAAATTCACATGGCTCACTAGCAGAGTCATCACTTAAAACCGGGTCTCTGGGATTCTAAATTCCGGATATTTCCTTTGTATCACTCTGCCTGCTTGTGTTAGTAGACATTATTCTACTGCTCAGTGACTGAACTTGTCTTACATATAACATACCCAATACATAAATGTCCACTAAACTGCATATTCCTTGAGGACAGCATGTCCTATTCATTTTTGGATTTCAAATACCTAACTAAGTGCCTGGCATGTAACAAATGCTCAGTAAGTGTTTAATAAACTAAAAATTTTTTTGAGTATATAGATATATGTAACATTTCAAACAAAGCGTACTTTAAAACATTTTTAGTTTTTCTCAATCAATAAAAGTCTTGACCAAATAAAAAAATCTGTCAAGCGACAGTTTTCACAAAATATAAACCTTTCTTTGTTTCCTAATAGCTGAGTTACAAGTAACTTTCTCACAGTTAGGGAAGGATCATGAGGTCACTCGGTCCACCCTGGAATGGAATGCCCACTTGTTGCTTGTTCAGGGAACTGATGATGCCAACGATTCTTTGTCTTTGGTATAATAAGACTCTGAAGTGGGTCCAGCCCTCTCGGTACAGGCTGCCAATGCAGGCAGCATCGCTTCCAGATAATTGCTTTCGGTTCTGCTGACTTGGAAAATCAACTCCCAGTCAGACAGGGCCCCTATTCAGATGGGACTAATGTTTCTTAACCTTTTTTAGGGGTTGGGGGGTGCTGGAGGAGATGCATGAAACTCTTTGAAATAAAAGTGGATTCAAGTAAACCCTGAAGCCAATTTCAATGACACCTAAAATAAGATTTAAAAATAAACTATTTTGCAAAACCAAGCATTTTCTTCTTCCACTTCTAAAAATATATTCTACAGGAACTGATAAGAGTTGGATAAAGTATAGCTTTCAGTGGCTTATCTAATAGATGGAGAGACAGCAGAGTGATTTCTGACACTCCCTATGACCCAAAACATTATTCAACAGCAGCTTGTCCTGCCTATTTTTTCATTCTGTTGTTGGCATTGGCACATCTGGGGAAAGTTTGTATCCCCATCAAAGAAAAACACAGGTTAAAAGAAAACTTCACAGTACAATTTTACTTCCACTGACTGAGCTTGACAAGCTATTACAAATTTCACTCCTAAGCTCAATGTATAAGATGTTAGTTATCTAGGGGTTGTCATAACTTCTTACACATTGAAAGGCAGAAATCTATGAAGAGTCTCCCTACAGGTGTTCTCAGAGTCAAGACAGTGACCTGACCACCATGTTTACAAGTGTTTTCAACTCTGCAGTATCTGCAACTACAGATGGCACACACAAAGTGTCCCCAAACACTTTCTTGGAAAAACCAGTTTGGAAACCTTTATCCTACTCATGAGGCATGTTTCTGTTATGTAATACAGCACCCTGTGAAGAATGACAAGGCCTGGAAGGACTGCACCCTGTCCGGCATTTCTAGATCAGAGGTGAAATAACATAGGAATATGAACTGACAAGACTATCAAGATAAAACATTTTATCAAGCTGTTGTTGAGAGAAATTGTAGTGATCCACCCAAGGGCCTGTTATTTGCTCTGGTAAATATTATCATTTTACTATTTTACAACTGAGGAAGCCAAGTTTGGGTGAATACAAGTAATTTTCCCAACAGCACTGCTAGATAATATGACAAAGTCAAATGATCCCATTCTAATACCACATGGATTTTAACATCCTTTCCTTAACTGAGTATATGTGAAAAATACTATAGCTATTTCAGATACTATGGGGGGCAACATTAGTGTTAATAATAAATAGGGTATAATAAAAAAATGCTTTCTTAAATATTGATATGTGTTTCCCTATCTGTGTTTGTTTGAATACGGATGTTGCTAAAACCCTAAAACTTCATAAAACTGCACCATTCCCCAAAGCCAGTATAGACATTTAGCTATCTTAATTTCAAAGCAAATCTCATATTTCTTTCCCTTTCAATGACTTTTGGACTTGGAATTTCCAAGGCACAAAATGAGATTAATGTACTTATGGGGATAAAATAACTGATTTGCAATCAGAATTGTCTGAAACACATGGTTACTGTTTTGCAAAATATAATTTATGGTTATACACAAGAAAGGTAATAATGTTGCCAGGTGTGGTGGCTTACACCTGTAATCCCAGCACTTTGGAAGGCTGAGGCAGGTGGATCACAAGATCAGGAGATCGAGACCATCCTGGTAAACACAGTAAAACCCTGTCTCCACTAAAACACAAAAATTAGCTGGGCGTGGTGGCATGCGCACCTGTAGTCCCAGCTACTCAGGAGGCTGAGGCAGGAGAATCGCTTGAACCTGGGAGGTGGAGGCTGCAGTGAGCTGAGATCATACCACTGCACTCCAGCCTGGAGTCTGGCAACAGAGCAAGACTCTGTCTCAAAAAAAAAAAAAAAAAAAGAAAGGTGATAATGTTAACAGAGAAGTTACTAGAACTGAGCTAATGAAAATGTCATGGGAAAGTTAAAGACAAAAATTTATTTTAGATAAGTCTGTATTGTATACACATTCACAGGGATAAGCAGGTGATATTTTAGTAACATGCCTTGCTATTTCTAAATCATGGAGAGACAGAAGAATGCTTGGAACTGAAAAGGCAGTCAAACTAATGAATTTGCAATGATGCTTTCAGACTGAAATATTTTATTCTAAGTTTCTGAAAGAGTTACATTTTGTAGCCAGTAAAGATCTTGGAAAGGAATACACATATTAAATACCCTGACAAATATTTTCCTATCTACAAGGTTTTGAAATTCCTGCAGCATATGACAACAATGGAAAATCTAGATAACTAAAACTGTATTATACAACATGGGGTTGTGGTTTTCATTTAATAATAATAATAATAGCCGGGCGCGGTGGCTCAAGCCTGTAATCCCAGCACTTTGGGAGGCCGAGGCAGGTGGATCACGAGGTCAAGAGATCGAGACCATCCTGGTCAACATGGTGAAACCCCGTCTCTACTAAAAATACAAAAAATTAGCTGGGCATGGTGGCGCGTGCCTGTAATCCCAGCTACTCAGGAGGCTGAGGCAGGAGAATTGCCTGAACCCAGGAGGCGGAGGTTGCGGTGAGCCGAGATCGTGCCATTGCACTCCAGCCTGGGTAACATGAGTGAAACTCCGTCTCAAAAAATAATAATAATAATAATAATAATAATAATAATACATCAAAAATATTAAATCAACAATAAAAGCAGTATATACTTTTAGAAATCAAAAAAATTGAAAACTTAAAAATTCAGTATATTGAAAGGTAAAGAGCAAAAACAAATCCAAACCATGCCAAACACAAAGATAACATTTTGATGTGCTTTCTTCCTTTTTTTCAAATGTAAGGCTTGGGCATTTTTTTAATACAAATAATTGAAACCATACAAATCTATATACTTGTTTTGCATTCTGTGTGAATTTATCCCATCTTATTTAATCATTCTCCTATAGTCAGGCATTGAGAATATTTTTATTTTTTTCAAATATAAGTAACATTGTTATTGAAAAAAGTAACATTATTGAAAAAAGATTGTTTCTAACAATTTTTTGTTGCTAGCAAAAGATTATTGCTAGCCAGAGGATCAAAACATATAAATCATTTAAAATTTTACTCAATATTACAAACTATATTTCATTAGTTCTATGATACACATTTAAAAAATCATAAGATCTCTGAATTTGGGATGCAACATACAACCTATGATGTCAAACTTCACTTTTGGCCAGGCAGTAGTTTTCACTGCCTTTGTGTGTGTGAACTCAGTGGGCATACTTGGTAGCAACAACTGGATCGTTGTACCCCTCCACATTTTGGTTCACAAGCTCTATTAGAGATCATCTGCAGAAGAAATAACAGTCTTGGCTATTCCCTTAGAAATTTCTATTGACCCCTTCTGGCAAGATGAACACAAATGTTTCAAAATTTATATACTGGGATTCAGCCACTCCCACTGAAAGAAAGACATAACATTTTATCCTTGATAGCACAGGAGACAAAATTATGTAGAGAAATGTGGACATAAACAACTCCAAGTAAAAGAGTAACACCGAGAGTTGGATTCTGAATATAAAGTGGTTTGCCTGTATTTTTCTTTTTATACATGCATTAGAAGTCTAAATAATAAAAACTCACATCTAAAGAATTCTAAAATAATGCAGTAAGTATAAAACAAATACTATAAATGATAAGAAATCATTGTGTTATTGTATAGGCAGCTTTATTTCTTCCTTAGTGATAACGTTGCATCTTAGGATTGAAGGAGTTAAAAAATATGACATTCTGACTATTGACTATTTAGGTGAAAGGCATTTGAAAAACAGTAGTTACAAAAAGATCACTCCGACCTCTGTGTTGTTTCTTAAAAGCAGAAGATGAAATTCCCATGTGAAGGATGCAACATCCTTATCCTCAAGGACAAGAAGCAAGACCAAGAGAATTCTATACAGACCTGTTAAAATAATTCTTATATTTTAAGCGCCACCCCCCCCCCAATAATTTAGCTGTGTCTTCACAATTTACTATTCTTTGTCCAATTCAGTATGTTAAGTAACTGACACTTAACTCCTTCTTCAGGTCTTCATTTCTTTATGAAGGTGACCATGCAATATAAAACTTGTATTAAATAGATTTGTAAGCTTTTCTTCTATTGATATACTTTATGTCAATTTAATTTTCAGACTCAGCCAGGATCCTAAGAGGATGGAGGTGGAGTTTTTCTCTCTCTACAGTTTCTTGGATTAAATTTGGAAATCTAAAAGACAGGGATGCCTACTGAGGAGGCTGAGGTGGGAGGATTACTTAAGCCTAGCAGATCAAGACCAGTCTGGGCCACTCAGCAAGACCCCTATCTCAAACAAAGACTGGGTTGCTCCACTTGCTCTGGAGCCTGAGGACGTAATCCTGGGAGAACTGACAAAAGCTGGCAGAAGGCAGGAATTCTTACCAAAGTCAGTTTTCCTGGGTCTCTGCCTATAGTGCTTGGTTGAGAGAGGAAAACAAAAACATTTTCCCATTCCTTCCTTTCCAAATTCAGATTGGCAGAATAAAAATGTCTGTAACAATTGGTTCTTTAAATTGTGACCCTTTTGAATTTGGTTCTGGCCAAATTTTGGTCACCGATCCACATTCTCAGGAATGATCCTTGTTTTCCTTGTCTCTCTTTTGTATTATTTATTATAAGGAGCAAAATCACAGTAAGATTCTCCTTTCATCTTCTTTTATGTTTTGAGAGCTCAGCTTTGTGACCAGTGAAAATATTTACTCTGGTCTCTGCCAGCCATTGGGGGTGCGAATTTTTAGGCTTGCGTCAGGCAGCTCAGCTAGCCTTCTGGCGAGGCATCGAAAACACAAAGTGTCTCTTAGTGTGACTTACCACGTCATCTCTCAGGGAACTGTCTCAATCTTCCATACCTTGTTAAAAATGAAGGTCTTGGCTTTCTTAGGCTATTTTTGGGAATAACTTTGGATCTTGAGGTGGACTACTTCTTTTGCACCTTCTTAGGAACATACTCTTGCATCTATGATGAAAATATAAAAAAAAGCTTATTGGTTTTTAGTCAAAATTAAAGTAGGTATAATTAGATTAGCAGATTTGCATTTTTTTTAACTAAAAGTATTTTTTTGGATAGTCTCATTCTAAAACAAACAAAAAACCATCAAAACTGTCCTATTGGTACCCATGGGAGGATATGGTTTAAAGCAAGAAAATAAGTGCCTACATAAAGTATTATCTCAGGACAAATAAAAACTAAATTAAATGTTCTTCAAGGTCATGTGATCTGAGATAATCCTTGGTTTAAAAAAAAGCTAGTTTAAGTTCAGTGGTTTAATTAAAGCAGGCATGCCTTCAATTGTCAGCATTAAATATAATGCATGTAACTTCTACCTGGATTTACTAATTAAAAATCTTACTTATGTTTAAGATTGTAAAATTATCAATTCAATCTAAGAATAAAATGTACAATAAAAGGAAATTACCTGATATATGTCAAGTATGACAGTAAAACAGAAAAAGGAAAGGTTGAATGTTTAACTTAGTAGGTGCTTTACTTCAATAGTGTTTAAAACTTGCCTAATAGATATAGATAAGGACAAAAATGGTCAACAAAATAAGTTAATGACGAAATGTAATGTCTCATGAAGTTTTCATGAGCAATTCAAATATAATTGTTAAAAATAAGTTTTCAACACTGATATGTTTTATAAGATATGTCTACAGAAACATAGTTTTCAGAATCTTTTTGGTGACTTAAAACCTTACGTTATATCAACTTAAATGATGGATATTCATGGAATATCAAGATCATTTCCAAATAAAATATAATACTGAAACATTAATTGATGAAAATAAGTTTAAGCCTGACTTATTATTACAGAGGAACAAAAAAATATTCATGTCTAATAAACATGCCCTGTGCCATACTGACAAACTGTGCTATAAGATAGCATATATTTCTAGAAATTATGAAATAATGTATTCACAAATTTATGAAAGACAATGCTTACTTCCAGGTTTTCACCAGAAACTGAAGTCACTGGGAGTTAAGAATCTAATTAGGCTGGGCGCAGTGGCTCTTAGCTATAATCCCAGCACTTTGGAAGGCTGAGGTGAGCAGATCACGAGGTCAGGAGTTCTAGACCAGACAGGCCAACATAATGAAACCCCATCTCTACTAAAAATACAAAAATTAGCTGGGCGTGGTGGTGGGCACCTGTAATCCCAGCTACTCGGAGGCAGGAGAATCGCTTGAATCTGGGAGGCCCAGGTTGCAGCGAGCAGAGATCACACCATTGCACTCCAGCCTGGGCGACAGGGTGAGACTTCATCTCAAAAAAAAAAAAAAAGATTTTAATTAATGTATATACTTAAAATTACTAGAAATAATAGGGGAAAACAACTTTGTATGCAAAATACACAAGGAAAATAAGATATTTTTGGTAAGAAAATAAGATATGAAAGATGTATTTTTGCCATGGAAAGAGTAATTTTGTTTTAGTTTAGAGGTACTTCAAAGGTTGTTTCAGAAAGAATCAAGCTGAAAGGCTACAGAAAGTCAAAAAGAAAGCAAAAGAGGAAATCTTATATAGTCAAGCTGAGTAAATTGAATGAATTTGCTAAAAGGTTTTTAAAAATAAGCCTTAATACAAGGAGTAAACTGACACAAAACTAGAACTTGGTCTTCTCTGTTAAAAGAACAAAGTTTTCTTGGCGATTAGTCTGCTGGTGATTAGAAAATTATAAATCTATTTTACTTTATCTGTTGAATAATTTCCCCAGGAAGCAAAGATTCTGTGTTTTATCCAAATAATTTCTTATGCTTCATGTTATCTTTTATCAGGTCTCTATTACTTTAAAAAACTAAGCCCTCTCTATTAAAGAATCTAAGCTTTTCCCTACAACTATTTTTAAGTTTCCATATTTGCCTTTAAAATTTTTTGCTACTCTGGTATGGTTTCACAGTTAATTGTGATCCTCTTTAATCGTTTAAACCTTTTGACATTTTTGACAACTTTCCAAAATCAAATTTTTCTTTTTTTTTCTTTTCCTTTTTTTTGTTTTGAGAGGGCGTCTCGCTGTGTCACCAAGGCTAGAGTGCAGTGGTGCAATTTCAACCACTGTCTCTGGGTTTAAGCGATTCTCTTGCCTCAGGCTCCAGAGCAGCTGGGATTACAGGCGCCTGCCACAACACCCAGCTAATTTTCGTATTTTAGTAGAGACAGAATTTTACCATGTTGGCCAGGCTGGTCTCAAACTCCTGGCCTCAACTGATCCACCTACCTTGGCCTCCCAAAGTGCTGGGTTTACATGCGTGAGCCACCATACCTGATCAGAAATGTTCAAAATGGGATCCTGAAATGTCTCAAAAACATTTATCCTCTCTCCTTATAAAAAGATAGATCTTAAACTAAATAGGCTTATTTGGTATGCTAAATGTACATGGGACATACTGTCAAATAAGAAATTATGTTTCATCTTCTTTGAGCTATATTTATTATATGTTATTAATATGAATATTTCCAAAATACTGATGTTACTGGATTATGAATTATTCTAGTTTCCTCTAATTTTTGACTACAACTCTCTAAATTAGTATTTCTAAATTTTTCCCATCCTTCTGACTTGCAATTAAAATTGCCCAAAAACTGAAACTGGACAACCTGATATAAACTTCAGAGAAATCATTCTAAAAGGTCATATGTGGACAACTTTCATGCCTGCTGCAATATAGATCACTTAGAAAGTTCACCAGAATGCCCAATGGCATTACCAGAGATATTCAAACAACAAACCAGGAAAATCATCACAATTGCCACTACTTGTCTTCACTCCTCTATCTAAAGAGGCTTAGAGCCCAACATCTAAACCTCTTCTCAACTGACTGCCCTCTGGACTCAAAAAAACAAATTGCTCCAACTATTGTATTTAGATTATTGTATTGTATATTAGACTTTTTCCGTTTTCTTTTCCAAAGAAAAACCTCTTATGTAACACTTGTTTGCTCACATCATCTAGAGGCCTAACTTAGTTGGGAGCCCACCTACAACACTGCCTCCTAAAATGAAACAGAACTGCTTAATTGGACTGAACTATTCTCATAACTAAGACGCTGATCCACTAAGATTTGGGACAATATATTTAGATTTGTTATCTTCTGCTTGTTCCAATTAATGTTCTTCTCTTCCTCTGCAGATATTTTCTACTCAGCTACTAACCTGATTCTTCTGAGCTAGCGACTCAGGTTTTATTTTTTTTTTATTTTTTATTTTTTTCACACCAATTTATACTTTATTTCTTATTCTTGAGGTTAAATTCTAAACCCTAAAGATATCCAGACTAGTATTAGATCTACTTATCTCTAGCCAGAGACAGCGTCTATCACAGTGTCCTTAACAGCCAAGGTTATTAAAACATCTTTTCTCCAGGAAGATCCAACAGGAAAAAACCAAGAAATCTCCCTGATTAGGCTCCAACCATACCCCACCCTCCATTCAGATTGGCTGGGTAGGCATAATGTAAACAGAACACGTGGTTTCCAAACAAGAAAAATCCTATGAGGGAGGGGAGAGGAAAGTTTCAGCCAGTGCTCAGTGAAACTGAGTAATGTCAGTTCCATTCATCTCCACCCAACTTCAGGTGGCATGTTCGTGGAGTAGTTTAGGAATAAATCCATGGTTTGTGGAGTACTCAAATACCTAGTGGTCTGCTGTATTACATTATGGCTTTCCCCAGAAGTTTCCAAGGCAGCCTCCAAGTCACTGGTGGGAGAATTTTGCTGGAACTGCATGCAGGACTGCAGAGGGTCCTCCCCATAGTTATAGAAGGGACTGCTCCAGGCCTGAGTGTTCCAGGACTGTGTGCACCAGGTCTGAGTGTTCCAGGACCGTGTGCACCAGGTCTGAGTGCTCCAGGAGTGGTTGGTCCAGGACTGGATGTTCCGGGTCTGGTTGCTCCAGGTTGAATTGCTCCAGGTCTGTTTGTTCCATACCGGAAAGTGCCCAGTTGTGTTCACCAGGCATCCCTGGTGGTAGGAAGAGTAGAGGCTGGGGTAGGTGGGTGCTGAGGCCTTCGCGACTCAGGTTTTAATATACGAAACTTCTAGGGAAGTTTCTGATGGAGGAAATGGAGTTAAAATATTGACTATTTAATTAAAGGAAGTAGAAAAACAGTAGGTATATTCTGACCTTTCTGCTGTTTCTTAGAAGCAGAAGATGAGATTCCCATGTGAAAGAAGCAACATCTTTATCTTCAAGGACAAGAAGTCAAGACCAAGAGAAGTTTATACATAACTTGATAAACTCTTATATCTCCCCAAATAATTTATGGCTTCTTCGTAACTTACTATTCTTTATCCATATGTAAGTGACTATGTTTCTTCAGGTCTCTGTTTCTTTATAATGCCTCCAATGCCACCTAAAACTTGTGGTAGTAATTTTGTATGCTTTTCTCCTGTTGATCTGTCTTATGTCAGCTTAATTCTTGGACTCAGCAGGGAAGCTAAGAAGATGGAGGTGGAATTTTGCTGCCCCTACAAGATCAATGACATTTTAGATCCAACAAAGCACACTGTATTGCCAAATTACCCTTCAAAGGTGTTATACAAATGTACACACCAGCAAAGTGTGACGGTGACCAGTGAAACATTTTAAAATTATATTAAAATATTTTAAAATTCTATATTACATATAGAATACATTAGGAGATAAAAATAGAGTAATACAAAATATAAAAACATTAAAGCATTAATATTTATGAAAGACTACTTCAATATAAATTTCCACACATCTTTCACCTTGTACAAATTAGATGCATAATAAATATTTGTAGATGATAATGTGCTCCTTAATGCTGCAGCAGCAATATTAAAATGTAATATTTTTGAGGTAATAAACATTAAATATTTCGACATTAAAATAGACTGCCTTTTGGCCAGGCGCAGTGGCTCACGCCTGTAATCCCAGTACTTTGGGGGGCCAAGCTGGGCAGATCATTTGAGACCAGGTGTTTGAGATCAGCCTGACCAACATAATAAAACCCCATCTCTACTAAAAATACAAAAAAGTTAGCTGGGTGTGGTGATGCACGCCTGTAGTCCCAGCTACTAGGGAGGCTGAGGCAGAAGAATTGCTTGAACTCAGGAGGCAGAGGTTGCAGTGGGCCAAGATCATGCCACTGCACTCCAGCCTGGGCGACAGAGTGAGACTCTATCTCCAAAAAAAAAAAAAAAAAAAAAAGTCTGCCTTATAAAAGATATTTATAGTAAAGGAAAACTTATAAAAGATTCATCCTTACCCCCTTCACAACGAATATATCATAGGTTTTAAGAAACTGTGTTTAATTGTCAGAACAACAGCAGTTGGATTTGAATTAAGATGAAGCCAGATCTGAAGATTCTAGAGAACATAATAATAAAAATATAAAATAAAATAATTTGAGCTTTCATTTATTTAGTATCTATAGAAACAGACCAAGTACACACATCATATCAAATAAAAATTTCATGCAGTAGGTATTATTATCCCTAGTTAACAGAAGATGAAACTGAATCTCAGGCCAGGTACTTAGTGTGAAGTCACGGTGGCAGTCAACGGCAGAGAGGATTCAAACTTCGGTCTCTCTGACTTGAAGCATTTTAAAGTTTATTTTAATCGTTATAGTCCCAATTTGTAATTAAATACTAAATCTCCTCTGCACCCAAGCAAAATTCTGATCTCCAAACTACAGGCACAAGACCTAAAGAAAATACTTCCAACATGTAAGACAAATAATTTACATCTCATAAACAAATCACTCCCACAGACAAGGCTAATGATAGTCATAGATATGACCAGGCGGGTGTGGGAACATAAATACAAATTGCTAAATAATAAAAATTTAATTAATATTTTAAAACATTTCATCTTACTAATGAATGGGGAACTGAAAATTGAAGATACCATTTTTATTTATGAGATAGGCAAAAATTCAAAACATCACAATGGAGGACAGGATCTGTGAATTAGTACCTATAAAAAAGTTTATTACTATTTTTGGGGCTATAAAATAGTACCTATTTTTAAAAAGTCAAAATACACATACCTTTTGGCCTGTTGGGTGTATTTCTAAGTATGCCTCCTATAGAAATATTCACCCACATGAACCAGGGTATATGTCTGAGAATATATGTGTGCCTATCTATCTATCTATCTATCTATCTATCTATCATCTATTTTTTTTGAGACAGAGTCTTGTTCTGCTGCCCAGGCTGGAGTGCAGTGGCACAATCTTGGCTCACTACAACCTCCACCTCCTGGGTTCAATTGATTCTCACCCCTCAGCCTCCTGAGTAGCTGGGATTACAGGCATACACCACAAAACCTGGCTATTTTTTCTATTTTCAGTATAGTCAGGGTTTTGCCATGCTGGCCAGGCTGGTTTCAAACTCCTGGCCTCAGGTGATCCACCCTCGTCAGCCTCCCAAAATGCTGGGATTACAGGCATGAGCCACTGCACCCGGCCATATATTTGAGAATATTCTAAACAGCAGTGTTGAAATTATCAAGAATTAGAACAAATTTAAAGTAAATCACTTGGGGACTGATTAAATAAACTGTGGCACATTCATTAGAATATAATTCACACTTCTACAATAATAAAGTAGATGTACAAGTAGTGGAAGGATATCTGTGATATATTACTGAATAAAAAAGCAAATTGCAGAATAATGTGTTATGATACAATTTGGTTAACAAAAATAATGTATGTCTGTATTTTATAATGAAAGGTATAGCAGGATAGAAATTGAAGTGTTAAAAATGGTCACATCTGGCTGGGTGTGGTGGCTCACCCTTGTAATCCTAGCACTTTGTGAGACTGAGACGGGATAATCACTTGAGCTCAGGAGTTCAGCCTGGGTAACATAATGAGACCTTGTCTCTAGTTTTAAAACAAAACAAAAACAAAAATAAAAAAATTATAAAGAAAAGAAATTGGTTATTCTAAGGATGGAAAGGTGCAGAGAAAAGTAAATAAACCTCATAATTTCGGTAAAATGTAGTAATTTTCAACTACTGTCATCTTTTAAATAAAAATATTTTAAAGTAAAAAAGATACTTTTATTATTTTATTTTTATTTTTTATATTTTTTGAGACAGGATCTTGCTCTGTCACCCACGTTGGAGTACAGTGGCACGATCTCAGCTCACTGCAGCCTTGACCACCCAGGTTCAAGTGATCCTCCCACATCAGCTTCCCGAGTATCTAGGACTACAGGTAGGTGCCACCATGCCTCGATAATTTTTCCTTCTTTTTTTTTTTTTTTTTTTTTGTGAGACTGTGTTTTGCAACATTCCTCAGGCTGGTCTTGAAATCCTGGGCTCAAGCAATCAGACTACCTCCCCCTCCCAAAGTGCTGGGATTACAGGCATGACCCACCACGCCTGGACTGAGATAACATTTTTTAAAAGTGAGAGAAGTACATTCCTAAACGTGTTGCATGGATAGAAACTGATTTGAGAAACACCTTAAGGAATTAGCCCGGTGAGGTAGCAGGCACCTGTAATCCTAGCTACTCAGGAGGCTGAGGCAGGAGAATTGCTTGAACCTGGGCAGCAGAGATTGCAGTGAGCCCAGATTGAGCAACTGTACTCCAGCCTGGGTGACAGAGTGAGACGTCTCAAAAAAAACAAAAAAAAATCTCAAGGAGATCAAGTTAAGAAGATATTGTTGCAAACCATTTAGTCCAATTGTTTCTCCCAATCTGAAGAGGCTATCTTCTGTTTATCTGATTTTCTCATTAAAATTATTAAAGTGTAATTTATATATAATAAATTTCTTTTTAAAAACATATTTATTTATTTATTTATAGATGGGGTTCTACCATGTTGGTCTGGCTGGTCTCAACTCCTGATCTCAAGTGATCCAGCCACCTCGGCCTCCCAAAATGCTGGGATTACAGGCGTGAGCCACCACGCCCGGCCTTATATAATAAATTTCAATCAGTTTTAAGTACACAATAAGTTTTTACAAATGATACAAACACAAATATACACTTAGTTTTAAGGCTTCCGTGTCACTCTTGCCAAGTTTCTGATAACTCATTATTTCAGGCACATTTACACTTTAACAGAATTCTGTTCATATCTTTTAAAGCAAGGTGAAAAATCTCTTGTTAGAATTCTACCAAAGCACGTTATGTCAGGACAAACTATCCGTGTGCCATAGCCCAGGCCACTCATGAAAGCAACATACAAATAAGTATCTGGACAGGCAGAGTGGCTCACGCCTGTAATCCCAGCACTTTGAGAGGCCGAGTGGGGCGGATCACCTGAGGTCGGGAGTTTGAGACCAGCCTGATCAACATGGAGACACCTATCTCTACTAAAAAATACAAAATTAGCCGGGTGTGGTGGCACATGCCTGCAATCCCAGCTACTCAGGAGGCTGAGGCAGGAGAATCGCTTGAATCCGGGAGGCAGAGGTTTCAGTGAGCCAAGATTGCACCATTGCACTCCAGACCGGGCAACGAGAGCGAAACACCATCTCAAATAAATAAATAAGTAAGTAAGTAAGTATCTGTAAGATCTCTAGAGTCTAGACAAGTACTCAGATTTTAGAAGATAAATTATCCACTGGAATTCCCATTCATTTTTCTGCAGAAAGACAACACTGCATACTCAAATTCTTTAATTCATTTCAAGATTGATTCCAGATAACTTGTTTTTCTGGTAAGACATAAGTTAACTTAAATGAATTCCTTAATGCTCTTAAAGCAGTGAGAAGCCTGATCTCTAATATAATTAGTGAAAATGTATCATCCATTAGAACACAATGCTTTCCACTCTTTCATTTAAAGAGTTTTACGTTAGAACTTGACCATATATTTGGAGAGGAGGAAGAGACCCATGATAGAGATATGGCCACTAGGTTTCTCAATGGACAACTGGATTTGATACAAAAAGACTTCAACTCTGGGCCAACCTAAACCTGTAGTACACTGGGGGACAAAAACACAGAAGAGTTCAGAATGCCACTTACGTGGTTTAGATGTTTAAGTTAGTAAATGCCATGTTTTATGCCTAAATGCTCAACGGGAAGGAATGTAATTAAATATCTCATGATAGAAAACAGTAGTGTATACTATTAGGAAATTATTAAAATAAGATTTTAAAAGAATAATAAAAGCAGAACTTTAAAAGTGTGTGTGTATATATCTAGTATATGTTTATATGGGTGTATATATATGTATATTATAGAAAGAAAGATACAAAAATAACAGTTGTTACATTTAGTAGTATGATTCTTATATCTCTAATTTTTTTTTTTTTTAATCTTGTTCTGTCACCCAGGCTGAAGTGTGTGGCACCATCTCGGCTCACTGCAACCTTTGCCTCCTGCATTCAAGTGATTCTTGTGTCTCAGCCTCCCAAGGAGCTGGGACTACAGGTGTGCACCACCAGGCCCGGCTAATTTTGTATTTTTTGTAGAGATGGGATTTCACCACGTTGGCCAGGCTGGTCTCAAAACTCCTGACCTCCAGTGATTCACCCATCCTGACCTCCCAGAGTGCTAGAATTACAGGTGTGAGCCACCACACCTGGACTCACTTTCTTTCTTTCTTTTTTTTTGTCTTTACAGAAATATATACCCTTTTTCTTAATTTTTTGTAATGACCACATATTACTTCTAAAGTAGAAATGTAAATATATTTTTAATGATAGAGGGTTATTAGCTTAAATATGTTTAAAAATTATTGAGAACAAATGTTTTAAAAACATTCCAGATACTTGATAAACCCACAATGTCTATTCCTAATAAAATTCTTTTTTCAAAAATTACTAAGTCAGTGGCTCACACCTGTAATCCCAATGTTTTAGGAGGCCAAGGCAGGAGGATCA